TGAAAGTATGGCTGATCCAGATTTGTACCCTTATGTCTCTCCTATGAGAGATAAATGGTGTACTTATTATTTGTACATTCCTGATATTTATAAAATAGGTATTATTTGTGATCCACGATTTAAGATTGAAAATTTTAAAATTCTAATTGAGTATTACTACAGTTGTTTTTTAGATAAAAATAGTTATTACTACACCTATTTAGTAGAATGGAAAAATGAAAGAGATAATGCTATAACTCTTTTTGAGGATTTGTTTAAGGAATATCAAGGGTTATACGGTACTGTACAAGAAGAAACAGCACCACCTCCGCCCCCGAAATCAAAAAAAGGTTTTGCCGGCATAGTCGGTGGCCTTCTTGCAAAGAAAGGGAAACGTGCCCAGTCTTCGACGAGTTCAAGTGGTACAACAGTAAGCTCGCACAACGAACTTGCTATGTACCAGGGCGTGCCATGCGATTACGATGACGACGATGTCGATTTTGACGTGCTCGGATGGTGGAAGCGGAACGAACACATGTTCCCATGTCTCGGCATGCTAGCAAGACAAGTGTTGTCCGTCCCAGTATCAACCGTAACAATTGAACGAGAATTTAGTGCTGGCGGCAACATTCTAACCGACTACCGAAGTTGTCTTAACGCTGAATCTCTTGAAACACTGGTTTGCAACCAAGATTGGCTCTTGGCAAGACGTCGGGCTCAAGAGTCATCGTACCAACTCGAATCGGAGCATTACATGAATGCAACCGCAGATGGAAGTCCGAGTTCTGAAGAATAAGTTATAAATTTTTTTTATGTTAATGTAAATATGTAATTAATTTTTTAGGTGAGCGATATATAAGCTCCTTCGAGGGTTTCTTTACGGTTCTTTACCTCGTCGCTTTTTTTGAACCGTCAGGATATTAAATGTGGTTGTTCTTCAGTTAGTGTATTACTCATTTTCAATATTTAAATAACAACTACATTTTTAGAGTTTTTATTTCATTCTTTCCTTAAACAATTGCAATTTGCAAATTTACAATTTTATAATTTAAAAATTAAAAAAAAAATAGGGGGGGGGGGGGGCGAAACCGGCCGGTCCGGTACCGGAACCGCCGGTCCGGGAACCGGAAACGGTACCGGCTGGCACGGTATACTATCCGGTTACTCGGGGTGGCGGTACCGGAACCGGCAGTTCCGGAACCGGAACCGTCCCGGAACCGTACCGTGTCCACCCCTAACCTAGAGTGCCTATTCTTGGTTCTTACCTTATCCTTAACCTCTTCACATCCACCCCTGCCCCTCAATCACCAATTGATAGCAAAGGGGTTTAGGAGATTAATAGTGTGATGAATTAATATTTTCCTTGATTAGTTGTGTGAAACTTTACACGTATATATACAGAGCATCTCAGTTTTACCAATGGTAGTATATCATAAAAGGAAACCAACTATATATGGTAACTATAATAAGCACAATATATTATTAAATATATGAAATATATTTAACATGCTCCTGGCTACGTTGGCTGTGGTCGAGGACGAATGCCGAGGTTGGTGCAGAAATCTATGAACATTATAGATGGGAGTCCTTTGGTGAATATGTCAGCATACTGAGAGGAGGATTGTACATGAAGGACTCAAACATTGCTAAGGACGACTTTGTCACGATTGAAATGGATATCAACCTCGACATGTTTAGTGCGCTAATGTTGAACAAGATTGGTGGAGAGATACACGGCGCTGACATTATCACAAAAGATAAAAGTAGCATGTCGCAGGGGCTGTTGTACCTCCAGGTGAAGATTCTGAATCCAGCTAGTCTTAGCAACTACATTTTCTACAACTCGGTATTCCGCCTTGACACTCGAGCGGGGTGTCGTGGCTTGTTGTTTGGAGGATCAAGAAATAAGATTTTCCCAAAGAAATACACAGTACTCGGATGTGGATCTACGAGTGTCGGGACATCCAGCCCAGTCGGCATCAGAATAGGCTTGTAGAGAATTAGTAGTGGATGGA